GGCAGTGACCTTGCATTCCTACACCTCCCTTTTTAGGATTTAATCCTTGACATTCAAAGGAACCAAACAAAGTACAGTGGTGCCTCGCTTGATGAGGATAATTCGTTCCAGCGAAATCGCTGTAGAGCAAAATCGTTGTCAAGCAAGGAAAAAACCAATTGAAACGCATTGAAAACCAGTTTAGTGCGTTCCAATGGGCAAAATACCTCAGCGTCCAGCGAAGATCCTCCATAGGGTGGCCATTTCCCGATCCCTGTTAAGCGAAAAATCTGCCCTAAAAATGGCAGGGAGCCATTTTGCACAGCGGGCAGCCATTTTGAAACCCGACGATCAGCTGTTTTTAGATCGTGTAATGTGAAGAATCGGTTCCCAAAGCAGGGAATCAATCATTGTCAAACGAAAATCACCCTTTGGAACATCGTTTTGCTATCGCAAAAACATTGGGTGAAGCAATTTTGTCATTTAACGAGGTAATCGTAAAGCGGGGCACCACTGTAGAGTTATTGCGCTGCTGACAGGACTGTGCTGGCTTCTCTGGAGGTGAAGCGATTTTGTCATTTAGCGAGCTAATCGTAAAGCGGGGCACCGCTGTAGTTATTCCCCTGCTGACAGGACTGTGCTGGCTTCTCTGGTGAACAAAGCTAACATCTTAAGGGAAGGGACACTTGGGGAACCTATAGGCTTGGTGGCAGACCTGAAACTTTGCACACAGAAGTTGTTATGTTTTCATCTGCAACCTTTTTAGTGTGTAACAGAAACAACGTCCCTGTTAAGGTCTGGGGAAGCAGTGGGCCGATGACCCAGAGTTGGGGAAGGCAGCTTCTTATGTTCCTAAAGGGACAGAAAAGTTGGTGATGCTTTCTGGAACCAGGCTTAGCAGCGGATTCTCTGCCAGTGTTTTGTGGGTAATTATGATGGTTTACGTTTAATCTCACCTTTTCTCCAGTGAGGAAAAGGCAGTATATACGTGATTCTTTTCTTCTTCACTTCATTTTGATAACAACCCTGTGGCTAAGAAAGAGCGAGTGGGATGGCCCCAGGTCACTCGGTGAATTTAATGGCTTTGTAAGAACTAGAGTCTGGATCGCTGGAACCTCAGTCCAATTCCAAAGCCTACTACACCACTGTACTAAGCAATCGATTCAATGGGCCAAATTGGCCATGACGCCATTCATACATGGCTTTATAAGGACTAGAGCGTGGATCGCTGGAACCTGAGTCCGATTCCAAAGCCTACTACACCACTGTGTTTTAAATACTAAGCAATTGATTCAGTGGGCCAAATTGGCCATGACGCCATTCATACAATTGTCAAGTATGTAGGGGTGGCTTTTTTATTTTAATATTTTAGTAAATAGATGGTGTGCAAGACACAGTCTCTACTGGAACATTGAGAAGGAGGAAGCATTCTGACCTTGTGTCACCCCTTTGCTCCACTCCTCCTGTTTCTTATTAATCGTTTAAAAAGTATACTTATTCATAAAATTCCTAATTGCATATGCAGTGTTACAGCTTGTTGTAGTTCAGATCTGCTGACATAACTGACAGAAAAAGGTATCAACCCGAGGGGTGAGGTGCAAAGACACTTACGCGCTGCCGAGCATCTACGCACCTGTTATTTTTTGAAAAAGTAGAAGGCATCTGACAGCACAATTTGCTTGAGGAATTGCAATCAGAATAATTCTAGGGCAGGAGACAGGAATAGTGTGAAATTCTAAAGAGCCCTAAAGGCACTGGGAGAGGCAAAATCTTCTTCCTGACTGCTTCATGAAACAGAAGGCAAGTCAGTTTGTAATTGTTTCTTGAGGAATATCTCTGGGGGTTGGGGGTGGAGGTGGAAATAAGACATGTTTCAAGAAAGCTGCCTTAATCCTGAGGATGTGGTTTGTCTGCCTGTCAGCAGGTCTCTGCAATCTCAAGTAGAGAAGGATCTTTTCTATCACCTGATCACAAGGTTGGATGACATCTGCGGGTCTAAGGGCTGCTGTAGCTATCGGAGGCTACCCAGGCCACCAGTGATGCAGTCAGACATATAGAAAGCAACCAGAAATGGCTGGAAGTCCATTTCCAGTTTTGAAAGAAGTCTCAGCAAAACAATGAGTGAGAAGGATCTTGGAATTGTTATAGACCACAAGCTAAATATGATCCAACAGTGTGATGTGGCTACAAAAAAAGGCAAATGCAATCTTAGGCTGCATTAATAGAAGTATAGTTTCCAAGTCCCGCGAGGTGCTAGTTCCCCTCTATTCAGCACTGGTTAAGCCTCACCGTGAGAATTGTGTCCAGTTCTGGACCCCACAGTTCAAGAAGGATGCTACTAAGTTGGAACAACTTCAGAGGAGGGCGACAAGGATGATCGGGGGCTGGAAACGAAGCCTTATGAGGAAAGGCTGAAAGATCTGGGCATGTTTAGCCTTGAGAAAACAAGACTGAGGGGTGATATGATAGCACTGTTCTCTATCATCCCAGAGTGCAGGACATGCAACAATGGGCTCAAGTTAAAGGAAGCCAGACTTCGGTTGAATATCAGGAAAAACTTCTTTAACTGTTAGAGCAGTATGACAGTGGAACCAGTTACCTCGGGAGTTGGTGAGTGCTCCAACACTGGAGGCATTCAAGAAAAACTTAGATCATCACCTGGCAGATCTAAGATCACTTCCATATATTTTGTGTTAATCACTGCAGGGATCTTGCATTTTAGGAGGTAAATTGCTGCTCATGGAATAGCAATTCACCTTTTTTTTTGCTGGGGAAAATCCTTTTCGAGGTTGGGGCATTAAACCAAAGTAAAGGTAAAGGTTCCCCTTGACATTTAGTTCAGTCATGTTTGACTCTAGGGGGCGGTGCTCATCCCATTTCCAAACCGTAGAGCCAGCATTTGTCCGTAGACAGTTTCCATGGTCACATGGCCAGTGCGACTTAGACACGGAACTCCATTACCTTCCCATCATGGTGGTACCTATTTATCTACTCATATTTACATGATTTCGAACTGCTAGGTTGGCAGGAGCTGGGACAAGCGACGGGAGCTCACTACGTTGCATGGATTCGATCTTACAACTGCTGGTCTTCCGACCTTGCAGCACAGAGGCTTCTGCGGTTTAAGCTGCAGCGCCACCACCAACTTCACTTCCATATATTTTGTGTTTTTTTTTTAATTTTTATTTTTTAACCTAAGGGATGACAAAAAGGAAAAGGGGACATAGGAATTTATGGGGAAGAGGAGAGACCATAACATGCTAACAACCATTCTAAACTTATTGCCATATCATAGTTTTAAATTACGTTGCTGTGATTGGTTTTTTGTTCTTGTTGTTTTTTACTTCACCACATTGGTCTTTGACTTCACAGTATTCTTCCAAGAGCTGTGTACTTGTTTTTTTAAAATGTCTCCAAAGATTTGTTCAATTGCTCATTGGTTGAGGGAGAGGAATTGCTGGTGCCCTTTAAATGGCTTCTTCTGAGGCCTTCCCAGTATTCAGCTCATCGCATTCTGCTTCTTATGTAAGAGCAGCATCTTCACATTATACATTTCACTTTGCTGTTGTATCCACAGCATGCCAATAACTTCTTACAAATAATAGCCAAAATCCTATTAGTTGCGGCTACTAGTATAATGACCAGTGGTGCCTCGCTTAACGGGCACCCGTTTAAGGACGAATCCACATAGCGATGATTTTTTGTGACATTTTAGGAGGTAAATTGCTGCTCATGGGATAGCAATTCACCTTTTTTTTGCTGGGGAAAATCCTTTTTGAGGTTGGGGCATTAATTTAGTCCAGTTGTTCCTACTCTAGAGGGTGGTGCTCATCCCCGTCTCCAAGCCATAGAGCCAGTGTTTGTCCGTAGACAATTTCCGTGGTCATGTGGCCAGTGCGACTTAGAAACGGAAATCCATTACCTTCCCACCGAGGTGGTACCTATTTAACTACTCACATTTTTACATGCTTTCGAACTGCTAGGTTGGCAGGAGCTGGGACAAGCGACAGGAGCTCACTGCGTTGTGTGGATTCGATCTTATGACTTCTGGTCTTCTGACCTTGCAGCACAGAGGCTTCTGTGGTTTAACCTGGAGTGCCACCACGTCCCCTACCATTAAGCCAAAGGCCACCCAAAACAACTGCCACAGTGATACTTTGCTCATCTTGTTCTAACTGGTGGTGCTGCAGACCTGCGTGTGTTTCAGAGATGCTTTGCCACTGGGGTGAGAGCTTTTGGGCCAAGGTTTTCTATCATGATTCAAAACACGTTGCTGTGATTGGTTTTTTGTTCTTGTTGTTTTTTACTTCACCACATTGGTCTTTGACTTCACAGTATTCTTCCAAGAGCTGTGTACTTGTTTTTTTAAAATGTCTCCAAAGATTTGTTCAATTGCTCATTGGTTGAGGGAGAGGAATTGCTGGTGCCCTTTAAATGGCTTCTTCTGAGGCCTTCCCAGTATTCAGCTCATCGCATTCTGCTTCTTATGTAAGAGCAGCATCTTCACATTATACATTTCACTTTGCTGTTGTATCCACAGCATGCCAATAACTTCTTACAAATAATAGCCAAAATCCTATTAGTTGCGGCTACTAGTATAATGACCAGTGGTGCCTCGCTTAACGGGCACCCGTTTAAGGACGAATCCACATAGCGATGATTTTTTGTGATCGTTTTTGCGATCGCATTGCGATGTTTTAAATGGTAAAAAATCGCTTTGCGATGATCAGTACGCTGTTTCGCATACCGATCATCGCATAGTGATGCTTTTCCGACAGCTAATCGGCGGTTCCAAAATGGCCGCCGGGTAAAAAAAATGGCCACCCGCTGTGTTTTTGCCTGGATTCCTTGCTTACCAGGCAGCGAAAATGGCCGCCGAATGGAGGATTTTCGCTTAAAGGTGAGTTTTTTGCCCATGGGAATGCATTAAACGGGTTTTAATGCATTCCTATGTGCTTTTTAAATCTGCATAGCGACGAAATTGCTTTGCAGCGATTTTTGCTGCACGGATTATCATCACTATGCGGGGCACCACTGTAATTGGCATTAAGTATCAGAGGCCGGTTGCCACCAGGTAAGAAGGTAGCATAATTAAGTGCATGGCACAGCAAGTTAAGAAGCTGTGTGACTTGGCCATTGCTGTGGTGGGTTTTTGTTGTTGTTTTTTACTTCGTCACATTGGTCTTTGACTTGACAATGTTCCACCAGGTGAGAAGTTAGCATAATTAAGTGCGTGACACAGCAAGTTAAGAAGCTGTGTGACTTGGTCTGTAACAGCAAATGTGTGCACTAACTGCTTAACTTGCAGCAGTTTTGCACAAGGATTTATGCCAGTTCTGATATAGCCTCATAAAATAAAATTGCAATAGGAATTTGGCCACTGATTTGTAACCAATTCCTTCTTTGGTAACAAAGGGCTGATGACTGTAATGCGATCTACCTTCCCTTACTGAAGCTGTAATTTAAAACAATAACAAAATAAAAGCAAAAGGATTTTGGCACCTTTGAGACTAATAAATGTATTTCAGTGGAAGTGTCCATGGATTATAATCCACTCTTTCAAACACAGTTTACATTAAAACAAATCTGTTAACTTTTGAGAGGTACAGTACAACGTTTCTGTTGTTGCTGAATGAGAAATATCTTTAACTCACTTTTTTAGGAGTCAGTTTGGCTTCTTGAGTTTGCTCACCAGCCAAATGGCAGTTTGAACCTTAGACTCAGTCATTAGCACAGTAACCAGAGTCCTAATCACCCAAATGGAATTGAATGACCAATGACAGCAGTAGTGTGACTCTTGCTTCTTGCAAAAAAATCAGTAAAAGGCTGTGTGGTCCCCTCCAATACAAATGCAGGAGCAGGTTATACATTTATTGGATCACTGGAAAAATTAAGTAGATAGCTAGCTTTCTGGTGGGGCGTGGTGGCGCTGCGGGTTAAACCGCAGAAGCCTTTGTATGCTGCAGGGTCAGAAGCCCAGCAGTCGTAAGGTCGAATCCATGCGACGGAGGGAGCTCCCGTCGCTTTGTCCCAGCTCCTCGCCAACCTAGCAGTTCGAAAGCAGGTAAATGCAAGTAGATAAATAGGGACCACCTTGGTGGGAAGGTAAATAACATTCCGTGTATAGCTGCGCTGGCCACGTGACAACAGAAACTGTCTTCGGACAAACGCTGGCTCTACGGCTTGGAAACGGGGATGAGCACCGCCCTGTAGAGTTGGACACAACTATTCTAAATGTCAAGGGGAACCTTTACCTAGCTAGCTTTCTATGATAGCCAGCTTTTGTCAGTCTGTGTTCCGAAGTTTCATGGCATAGTTGTTGTTAATGTAGGCAAAAATTGTCCTCAGGTGAGTTGGGCAGTATACAAAGAGCTTGTGGGGTGGGTGCTTGGAAACACCTCCCCAAGTAGCATCTCACCTTCATGGTTATAGGCATGTGGCCTGATGAAATGATGGAGAAGAAACTCCCTTGTTTTATGCTGCCTGTTCCCCTCCTGCATCTGTTGAAGTGACAGCAACGCAGATAGGAAGAGAGCAGAGATGAAGAGTAGCTGGTTGTTACTTAATGAGTTTTTGTTTGAAATAAGTAATGCTTCCCATCTCTGGAGCGCAGTGCATTTTGTATAGTAGGCCAGTGGACGGCAACTTTCAGATGTGTGTGTGTGTGTGTGTTTTACTTTTTTAAAAGCAAGTCGCTGAAAAGATTGCTTTAAGTAATTTTTACGAAAAGGAGAAAATAAAACAATACTTTTAAAATTGCAGTGATAGTGGTAGCTACGTGTTTGGGATATGGAGTTGTACGTGTAGTTAGTTGATTTTTAAAAAGTGATTTCCTAAGCCCTGAATATCCTTTGCACATCTTTCTGTTAAAGCAGACATCCGGCACATGGGGAATGCAGAAACTGGAGCATCTCCTGCCCTGGAGCAGAATTCCACACCAGGGTCATGTGGCTCCTGGCACCATCTGATCTTTCACGGAGGAAGTTCCCAAGGCCTTTCTTTCCGCTTGGCTGTCTGTAAGCCAAAGCTGCCGAAGTGGGCCTCCCAACGGACATGCTTTCAGAAGTGTGAGGCTGCTTATTCTCCTCTCCTGTCACAAAACTTCCAAGGCAGGAAGCGCATCATCAGATTGCATTGACACTCCGGTATTTATTGGGGTGCGATAACGCAAGCTCTCTGCTCCTTCTAATGACAGCTTGTACTAATGTTGTTTTATGATTGTCGGCAGAAAGACAAGGGGCAGGAGACAGCTGCTTTTTGCCAGCTCTTGCTTTTAGTGGATGCTTCAGTTGTTCTGCAGCAGGCAGTGAGAGTACAGCTCATCCTTTCTGTCTTGGAGGTGGGGGGGGGAGGGCAAGTGAACGGGCTATAGAAACATAGCCCTTCTGTTCTTTATGGTACAATTCTGCAGCAGATCCACATTAGAACAACAATGCCATGTGTGTTTTGTGGATAATGCAGAACCCCCTAATCCTGGGCACTGGCATTCTCCTTTTCAGGGTTGTAAAATTTACTGGCAGGATAGGCTCACAAGTGTAGGTCTCTGGATGCGAAGTCAGAGGTTGTGAGTTGGCTTCTCCATTCTGTCTGTCTCCTGGGAGACAAGCTAGCCTGTGTTGTCCATGGGCAAGCTGCACAGTCCCAGGGTGTCCCCAGAAAAGGGAATGGTGAACCACTTCTATGTATTATTTACCTAGAAAATCCTGGAAAGGGTAAAGATGGAATTGACCTGGCAGCACACAATTATGATTATTAAGATTTACAAACTTCTGAAGTGGACTTAGACCGCAAACTGACATATTGCTGGCTCTGATCCTGGATATGCCACCAGTTGCAATTCAGTGGTTCAGTGACTGTGCGATCTGACAAAACTTCAGTTTTATGGTATTTTTATAGGCACCGCTGAACAGCTGTTACTCTGCAAGTATCCATTTTATTCCACACTGTGCTTTGGTTATCAAGGTATAAGGGTGACAGGTCCTCTTAGACCGGAGGAGTGGGCAAAATGTGATCTTCCAGAGAGCGTGAGACTGTAACTCAGAATTCGTCACCATTGGGCCGATAGAAGCTGCAGTCCAACAACATCTGGAGGATGGCATTTTGCCCATCCCTACATTAGAGCTTTGGCTGGAGCCTCCAATTTCAGTAATGCTATGAAACCGTTCTGGATCTGTCTTCAAGCTTTACAGGTTCCATTGTAGGTGCCAAGTCTGTTTCAGCAGCTTTGGATGCCTCTATAATGTACAGACTATAAAGCCCAGAGTGGATTCATAGCGTTGGTGAAATTGGAGTCGCCAGGCGTCATTGCTTGTTGGCGTACGCTCTGAAATTCTTCAGTGACCAAAAAAATACATATTGGTAGACTTCTTATTGCTTGCAGTGACCCCTTATTTGGGTCACTTAGCAAACCAGAGGGCTTTAGTTAATAAGAATGGATTTAAAACATCCATAGCCAATTCCAACTGAGCAAGAAAACCACTTATAATTACTAGTTAAGCAGGTAAAAGCTTCAAAGATGTGGCATCCTGAAGAGTTGTAAGTGCCATATGGTGGGTTTGGAACTGAAGCTGTCTTCGCCTGTTCCTTTGTTTTACATTCCTTCCCTCTGCAGACATTTTTTACGTACACAGGGAGAAGGAAAAGCATAGGCAAGAAGCTTTCCTCCTGTTAGAGGTTATGTAATTGCCTGTGAATTGACACAGATTCTTTCCAGAGTATGATATGCATCGTTTCTCCATCCATCCCCCTCTCACCGCTTTCCACACTTCAGTGACCTCCAGATGCGTTGGAGTACAATTCACAATTGTATTGGAATGCTGTCCCACAGCCTGTCTAGCAACACAGTCTGGAGGGGGGGGACACACACTGATTTAGGGCAGGTGGTTCTAGCAGAATAAGGGAACACTTTCTGTAGAAATTGTGATATTTCACTGACATGAATCAGGGGTCAACAATCGCATGGAAGAAGGGAAGGTGAACTGAAATTAGGACTTCCCTCTGTCAGCCTTCTTCAAAAAGGGTTTTCTTGGAAATCAGCTCATGGTTCTCATGTGGTGAAGACTGGTGTGGTTTGGTTTGGTTATTGTTTATGTTGCACTTCCTTATCATGCAAACTCTCTGGATTTTGCTGTTCTGTGTGTTGAAAAATGCACAATGGGGTATTGGTATAAATGCAGCTTGGAATTTCTGCTGATTTTAGATTCCAGTTTTGTTGTGTCTTCAAAAATCACGAATCCTTATGATTTGTAAAGATGTGCTGGAAAGAGTTTGGCCAATGTCTGTTTAAGTCTCAGAAGATGCCGGGGGGGGGGATTGGGGGAAGGAATGTGTTCGTTTGCTAGAGAAGTCTGGCCTGGCCACAGTGCCACATGCCTTTCTTCTTTTTTGTTGAAGCGCTGCTGGTGTTTGTGGATTTCAATGGCTCCCCTGTGCAGTATAACGTAATGATTGCTGGTGTTGTCCAGTACCTCTGTGTTTTGAAATAGAATTTCGTGTCCAGCTTGTTTCAGGGCATGTTCAGCTACTGCCGATTTTTCTGGTTGTTTTAGTGTCTCTCATGTTCTTTGATTCTGGTGTGGATGCTACCTTTTGTGGTTCCAATATATACCTGGCCACAACTGCAAGGTATCCGGTATACTCCTGCAGTGGTGAGGGGGTCCCTTCTGTCCTTTGCTGACTGTAACATTTGTTGTATTTTTGTGGTGGGTCTGAAGACTGTTTGTAGGTTGTATTTTTTCAAAAGTTTCCCCATGTGTTCCGCAACCCATTTGATGAATGGCAGAAATACTTTATTTGTGAGTGGCTGTTTTTCCTCTTCAGTTTGCTGTTACTTTCATGGTTTGATGGCTCTTGTGATTTCATTCTTGGAATAGCCATTCGCCTGTCGGGTCCAATTCAGATGGTTGAGTTCAGTGCTGAGAAATTGAGCTTCACAGTTCCGATTTGCACGGTCTACCAGTGTTTTGATTATGCCTCTTTTTTTGTTGTGGGTGGTAGTTGGAATTTTTGTGTAGGTACTGGTCTGTGTGGGTAGGTTTTCTGTAGACCTTGTGTCCGAATAGGAGGTCAGTTTTGTGTATGACCATGACATCTAAGAACGGGAGTTCTCCCTCTATTTCTTTTTCCATGGGGAATTGTATACAGTATTTGGGTGGATGCTGTTGAGATGGTTTAGAAATTCTTGCAGTTCTTCTTCACCATGGTTCCAAATTGTGAAGGTGTCATCCACATATTGGAACCAGACTGTGGGTGCGAAGGGTGCCGAAGCCAGGGCCTGTTTTTCGAAATGTTCCTTGTAGAAGTTTGCTCTCCAAGGCCACTCCATCTGTCTGTTCATAGAACTCGTTATCCCACTGAAAGTAGCTGGTCGTTAGGTAGTGTTGGAAAAGGGCCTTGATGTCTTCTGGAAAGATCTGCTGGACGAATGCCAGAGTGTCCTTTATCAGTACCTTGGTAAATAGGGATACTATGTCAAAGCTGGAAGTGAGAGCTGGACCATAAAGAAAGCAGACCGCCGAAGAATTGATGCCTTTGAATTGTGGTGCTGGAGGAGGCTCTTGAGAGTCCCCTGGACTGCAACGAGAACAAACCTATCAATTCTAAAGGAAATCAACCCTGAGTGCTCACTGGAAGGACAGATCCTGAAGCTGAGGCTCCAATACTTTGGCCATCTCATGAGAAGAAAAGAGTCCTTGGAAAAAACCTTGATGTGTAGAAGTTTGCTCCCCAAGGCCACTCCATCTGTCTGTTCATAGAACTCGTTATCCCACTGAAAGTAGCTGGTCGTTAGGCAGTGTTGGAAAAGGGCCTTGATGTCTTCTGGAAAGATCTGCTGGACGAGTGCCAGAGTGTCCTTTATCAGTACCTTGGTAAATAGGGATACTACGTCAAGGCTGATCAGACTGTCCCCAGGGTTGAATTTTAGGGTGCTGAGCTGATCAGTCTGCCCCCAGGGTTGAATTTTAGGGTGCTGATCTTGCTTATGAAATGTCCTGAGTCTCTGATGTAGGTTGAGGTTTGTCCAAAGTGGGTCTGTAGGAGGGTGGCTGGATATTTTGCTAATTCAGATGTCGGGGAGCCGATGGCACTTACAATGGGCCTGAATGGGATTGAGTCTTTGTGGATTTGGGGGAATTTATTTAATTCATTTAAACATTTGTATAACTTAACTGTTTTTAGCTTTCAAATACTGCCTTTTTTAATGGTATAAGCCACCTTGGGAATTTTTTTAAAGGAGAAAAGTGAGGTAAAATTATTTTAAATAAATGAATACATTTAAAATAACTAAACTTGGCTGTTCCTGGGCAAGTTAACTGAGAGAGAGGTGGCTGATCCAGTTGCAGGTGTTGTTGGAGAAGACTGATAGTCTCGATCCATTTCAGTTGGGATTCATGGTACTGAAACCACGACCTCCTCAGGGAGACTGTCAGGGGTGGGTGGGTGTAGCCTTGTTGGTGCTTCTGCGGCCTTTGATATTGTTGACCGCGGGCGGTGTCCTTCTGGGAAGACTACCAAGTGGGGGGATCAGGAGCACGACGCTCTGATGGTTCTAATTCTTCTTTGATAGCCATACCCTAAAGGGATATACCGTATTTTTCGCTCCATAAGACACACCTTTCCATAAGACGCACCAATTTTTTAGTAGAAGAAAACAGGAAAATATAATCTGTTTTCTTCGCTCCATAAGACGCACAGACTTTCCACACACCCCCGTTTTGTGGGGAAAAAGTGCGTCTTATGGTGCGAAAAATACAGTAGTTTAGGGATGTTGTCTTGTCCCCTTAGAACCTCCGTTATGGGATCCCACAGGGGTTGATGGTCTCTGTGCTTTTTAACATCTATATGAAGCTGCTAGGAAAAGCCACCCGGAGTTTTGGAGTGCATTGCCAGCAGCACACTGATGGCTTACAGCTCTCTCTCTCTCTCCTTTCCATCATCTGCAGAGGGTGCTGTTTGGGTTCTTGAGTGCCACCTGGCCTCGATAATGAACTGAAATGGAATCCGGATAAGACAAAGATCCTGTTTTGGGAGTTTCATTTGACTGGTTAGAAGGAAACCTATGTTATGCCTGCACAAACAGGATTTTGGCCAGTATGTCAACTGAAAGGTCCTGATTTCACTTCAGTTAATTACTGTTTCTGTGCTTTCTCTCTTCTTATCCTGCAGGACAAATTTGGAAGCCCTGCAGAAGAAGTTGGAAGAACTGGAGCTTGATGAACAACAGCGGAAACGACTTGAGGCCTTCCTTACCCAGAAACAAAAAGTTGGGGAGCTGAAAGATGATGACTTTGAGAAGATCAGTGAACTTGGTGCAGGGAATGGTGGGGTGGTCTTCAAAGTCTCTCACAAGCCTTCTGGCCTCATTATGGCAAGGAAGGTGAGCCTTGTCTTGCAAGCTGTTCTAGAATCTGTTTTCAGTGAAACCTATTCAGATTTTAAGACCAGAAAACTGAAGTTTTTGTTCTTTTTTGGGGGGGGGTTAAGTATCTGCGGACCTGGTTAGCCTTTTAATCCTGGAAATCAGAGAAGCGACAGTTTTCAGTTGCAACAGCATCGAGTGTATTCCCCCCACATAATCCCTCCCATATCTGCAAATTCTTTCAAATCAATTTACAGTATGTCTGCCTAGCTTTTTCCATCTTGTTTTATTTGCCCATAAAATGGAACCACACTGTATATCTTTTAAATTCTAAAGTTAAGCTGTTCAATAGTATTTGCAGCAAGTGGTATTTGCATAAAGAGACTTGTGGCACTTTAAAGATTAGCAAGTTTTATTTGACTTCTGTGGACTGTGGGTGGTCCCGCTTCAAAAGCATCTTTAAAAGTAGGTTGCAATTCATGAAAGTTTATGCCAAACAAAATTTGCAGGGATGTTGGCAAGTCTTGGGACCCAAATCCCAGTAAGAATCTTGGGGCCGACGTCCGAGTGCAAGTCTGTGGTACCAAGTCCCAAGCTTGAGTCTGAATTTTGAGTCACCCGTCTGCCCCCCGCCTCCCAAGGCTTGGGCCTGGGACCCAAAGACCCGGGCCTCCCCCCACACCTGCCATTGACCTACCTGCTGCCACTGCCACCCCCCCTTCAGAGACAGCCTTCCATTCCTAGAGCCAGCCACTGCCTCTACCCACGCATGTGCTCACCTATCAGCTAAGCTGGTGCGTGTGTGGGCGGAGGAAGTGGGCCAGCTGTCTCTGAAGATGGTGGCGGAGGGAGAGAGGCCGATGGCAGGGGCGGACCCAGAAGGACTCGACAACGTGACTCAGACAAATGGGTCCAAGTTGCAAGTCAAGTCCCAAGTCTCCTCCAAAACCCCTCAGTCGAGTCAAGTCACAAGTGCAAAGTAAGTCAGACTCAACAGGGATTTGCGACTCATCCCTGAGACATTTGCTAGTTTTCATAGTGCTGCAAGTTTGTGTGTGTGTGTGTGTGTGTGTTATTTTAGACTAGAGATGGATGTGTCCTATCTGTCTGGAAAGTTACTCAGTGAACTTTGATGACGGTTGTTTTTTGTTTGGCTGGTCTGCTCTTTAGATGCCTCTTCATTCAGCCTTTTTTTCCTGGCTGGCTTCTTCAGCCACATGTGTTAGGCAGAGTCATGTGACATTTGCCATTTGGGGCATTATGCAGTTGCAACTTGGCCACATCATCAGATTTTTGGCTCTTGTTGACACATCCACAGTGACTGATTGAGACAAGTGATGGGAACAATTCTGGCAGGAAATTCAGATCACAGATTTTATCCTCTTGATTTCTAATGTTGCTACTCGGCAAGATTTTGCTCCATGAAAGGTAGCTTGGACGATAAATGGTTTTCCCACATCAAAACAATATGCCATAACATTAAGGATATGTTTTTTTTTCCTTCTTCAGTTCCTAAGAGTTGTCCAAAGAAGAAACTTAAAGCAATTGATTTATTTTGCAGCTCATTCACCTAGAAATCAAGCCAGCAATTCGCAACCAGATAATCCGGGAGCTTCAAGTCCTGCATGAATGCAATTCTCCATATATAGTCGGCTTCTATGGAGCATTCTACAGTGATGGTGAGATCAGCATTTGCATGGAGCACATGGTAAGTAAGCCTTTAGGCTTGTGTACATCTTACACTTTGTCTGCTGTGTGGGTTCTGTGTACTTAGCCTGCATAGTCCTGTGTAGTGATGGAAGGGTAGGTTATGGTTCTGTCTATGTTTTTTTCTATTTTACTTTGCTGATGTATTTTGTTGTAATTTTATTTTATTTTTTTATTTTTTTTGCTGAGGGTCATGGTTAGCAGCAGAAGTAAAGTTTTCATTGCCACTGGCTTTTGTGATTTCAGACATTTATATTGGGTACTCATGTCCCCTTTGTCCCAGAATGCACTGATAAATAGACTCTGGTATGCGTGACCCTGGTCAATAGTTCGTTCATCTGAAAAATCTTCATTTTGAGTCTTAGTCAAAGCTACAGACTTCGCAGCCACAATATCTGGACAGAGATTTGGACCTTTTTGTTTCCTCTCCATCTCCTGCTTTTTGTCCCATATTGCCTGAAGTGTAGATCTGGAGAGATGAAAACTTTGCAGGCTTCTGTAGCTATTTGTTTGCTTCTGTCAGTATTATCACCTGCCTGTGGATTTTGTTTTGTTTTCTCACTGACCTGCATGGCTTGCTTTCTGGTGTTTGTGATTTTCTGAATACTGTTATTTCCAAATATACAAACTTTGGGATCACTATGAGGCAAGGGGGTGGCACAAAAGAACCCTTTAGGTGATTATATGCATGAAACCTCATGACAAAGAATGGTGTAGTTCTTTGCTTGGATCAGTTGGTGGCTAAAAGTGCGGCTTCATGAAAACAGGCCTGTAATTAATGTATCTTGAGAAGTAACACCCTGATGCCTTCATGGTGTCATTTTAGACACCTCTGCTCCTATCTGGCACTCTGTTAGCAGTCAGGATTCTGAGAAGGAATGGATTCTTGGCATGTACCTATGGGTGGTAAGGAATTCTGCAAATTGTAATCCCAAGCGATAACTTTTCTGAGCTCTGATTCAAACAAAGGAGGTCCACATGGTAAAGGATCTAAGAGTGCGCCATATGATAGTTGCTTCATTTTATGCCTTTTGGGTAACTGTTAAGCAGCTTTGACGTACCTCCATGTTTTCTGGTGTAACCTTTTTAGTTCTGTGGGGTAGTTGCTAGATTTATTCCTGTGTGCCTGTCCTGCCATGGCGTCCTGATCCACTTCTCAGGATGTGTCTCTACTCCTTTGCCCGTTTCCTCCTTGAGGTGGGGAGTCCTAAGGAAGGCACAAAAGGCTAGTGAAACCATCAAACTCAATTTGGGCTGTTTCTCTCGACTCCCTGGCATGCAACCCCCTTCTCCGTGGTTGTGCCTTTTCAGAAGTGTTACCCACATAAAATAACTTCCACCATTACCCACATCCTGTCCTCTCGTCTCAAAAATCCAGTAGCATAGCCGAGACTAAGGCAGTAGAAGTTAGCACCTAAATTTGCTCTGGACTTTAAATCCAGCAGACCCCTGGAAAGGATTTGTTTGTATTTTATTAAAAAGAAAAATAAGCCAAAAGATAAAATAGTTACAAAAGAGTGAAAAGGTGAAAGTTACCCAAAAGATTCTTGGTGAAAAAGGTTTCTGTCAAGCATAGGCGGACCCATTCTGACAGATGAATTTTTCCTTTACATGAGGATGCTAAGTTGTCGCCTTTCCTTGTATCTCCCAGGCTTTCTTTATACAGAACAAGCTTTATGTCACAGAGGCCCTAATTACCTGTCATTGCTGTTAATCCCTTTCAAGTACTTCCAGGCTAATGAATTGTTTCCTTAATGGGGCTTCATCCCTCACTCCAATTACCATACCCTCAGGCAGGAAGACAAGTTCCTCAATGAAGTCTAACATACATTATCTATCAAAGCTTACTTTGAAGGAACTACACAGGATAAGCAGGGCAGCCAGGGGTCAGCCCTTTTGAAATTCTTCCTGGCCATCACAGTTGGCAGAGGGCAAAGCATGAAAAGGTTTCTTCAAAGGTTCGATTTCTTCCATTTGGTCCTCAAAGTCCACACATGTTTCCCAGGTTAATACATGGCCCACGCTTTATCATTTTGTAGAGCCTGTTTTTACAGAATCCCTCCACAATTCCTGCCTCTTTCTCAGGCAAAAGTTTGTCCCCTGCACGAACAGAAAAGCGAGAGGTTTGAACTCCCCTAGAACACCCACTCACTCATAGAATCATAGAATAATTGAGTTGGAAGGGGTCACTTGTTACCTCCTCCCAGTTTGAGAAGCACTGTGGTGAGTACGATTCTGTAGCCAGCTGTGTATCTACCTGACAGTGGTTCTATCCAGCCTACACCTAGTTAGCTTGCTAATCAGGAAGCAATACTTCATTTTTTCTTCACCACTTCTAGGCAGTGTAGTACACTAATTAGGGTGCTGGACAGGAGCTTGCAAGACCCAGACATACTCCCTATTCAATTCTTTTAAAAAAACCCTCTGGTTTATAAATGTGGGATATTATGCTTTTGTAACCACGATTCAGAATGCTAGGAAATGGCTTGATATCACTGTATAATATTATGCCTCTGCTGTGAGCAGGAAAAAGAATGTCAAGCTTAACGTAGCAAGGGGCAGCTTGAATGTTGACAGAAACAATGGCAGCCGTAAAGATGGTCTACAGCAATGGTTCCCAACCTTGTAGCAAGGGGCAGCCTGAATGTTGACAAAAACAATGTCAGCCGTAAAGATGGTTTACAGCAATGGTTCCCAACCTTGGGTAACGCAGGTATCTTGTCAGAGTCTTGAGAGCAGCAACAGATAAGGCCTTCTCCTGTGTTCTCACCCAACGCATCTGAGAGGATGGTGGGACTGAGAGAAAGGCTTCTCCTGATGGTCTTAACACCCAGGCAGGCTCACGAAGGGAGATGCGGTCTTTCAGATAGCTTGGACCCAAGGTTACAACCAGCGCTTTGAATTGCACCAGAAATGGAGTAGCGGCCTGTGGAACAGCTGCAACAGGGAAGTTATGTGTTTCCTGTCACCAGCCCAGGTTAACCATCTCAGGACAGCCGCTCTTGGCAGTTTCATGTAGATGTTAAATAGCATGGGGGACTAAACAGAACCCTGAGGGATAACGCAGGCTAACGACCAGGATGTCGAACAGGAGTCCCCCAACACCACCTTCTGAGTTCTCCCCTCCAGGAAGAACCAGTGCCACCATAAAACAGTTCCTCCAAGTGCCATCCCAGAGAGACGGCCCAGAAGGATAGTACGGTTGATGGCATTGAAAGCCATTGAGAGACCCAGCAAAATCAACAGGGACACATTCCTCCTGTCCAGGTGTAGCTCATCCACCAAGGCAATGAAAGCAGTCTCCATTGTGTAACTATTGTGCAGCCATAATTGACCCAAAGATCACTGAATGACTTTGCACAGTCAAATCCATCAACCTGGCCCACCTCGGAAGGTAAAGATGAAGTGGGAAGAAAGAGCGCTGGCTGCACCACCCTGAACTGATTAGAATAAACCAAATATAGTATAATATTATGGTATCTTAATATAAGGCTGGCTAGTACTTGGTCGTGGTGGGGAAAGTGATCCTTATATACTGCTCCATAGCACTTGAAGCAATCTCTGGGCAATTTACAATTTAAACTATGAAGGCTGCACATTGTCCCTGTCCCAGCCAGCTGGGTACTCAATTTACCAACTTCAGAAGGAAGACTGAGTGAACCTCGAGCCAGCTCTCTGGGACTGAACCCAAGTTGTGAGCAGAGTTTTGGCTGCAGCAGAGCAGCTTAACCACTGCTCCACAAGGAAATACCAGGTAATCTCCAGGGAGGGCCAAAAATGAATTCTCCCTCTAACCTTGAAGAGTCATGGCTTAGCAGGAGTTAAGAGTATTGGAGCACATGGGACAATGTTTTTCATTAAAAACAGTTCGCAGTGTTCCTTAATGTGACAAAAAATAAGTAAATAAATATATAGCCCCTGCTGTCCTAACTGCTGGTTGTGAATTTGCACCATGTGTGGATCTGTATGTTAGTTGCTTGCTAACTCGGAGCCCCTGAGCATCCATTTTCCAGCAGTTGCAAACCTTTGTCACTTATCCTGATGCCTTCTGACTGTTCCCTTTCTAACTTCATTTTTCACCTTGTTTGAACTCTGATATATGTATATAAAAAAGGCATTTTGCTCTCAACATCTGCCTGCCTTTGTTTAGCCAGATGGAAGTTCTACTTTTAGAGCACCCTTTCAGTGACTAGGAGCTGGTTAAATCCCTTCCTCTCCTCAGCTTGCATTGAACCGTTTCACATGTGAGCGTAAATGCTGTGTGAGGCAAAACGGGCCCTGGGGCTAAGTGAGGAAGGTTTCGAGAAAAATAGCTGTTTATGCAACATTAAACCTAGCTATTTATGTCTTGCTCTTATAGAAGCCTTAATTGTCATCTTCTGTTTGTGGCACTAATATTTCTAATACGGTCAGATGAAAGTTTGTGTTTTAGTCAATATTAATAAAAAAACGTAACCCATTGGAATAGAGAAGAAGTTGTTGAAATGAAGGTGGGTGGAGAAATGAGGGAACATAGAAAGCCAAATGGAGCACAACAAGAAATGGTGGGAGGGGAGGGTCTGACCTGGGTTCATCTGGGATGGCTAAGGAAAATACCCTACTTTGATAGTTTAGGAGTGTTTTCCCTTTCAGAAAATCCTTGTACAGACAGTGGCAAACATTGATTGTGTGTCCCTTGCGTTTGAGTCCAGGGACCGTGTGTGGGGCTCTGATTAATGTAATGTCCACCTAACTCACCAGTTGATGCCTTGGCTGAACTTCCTGAAGTGATCTCACACCTGAGATGTAAATGTTTGGCCGGTACTTATAGCAAAAGTAGAGGAAACCTCAGTCCATTTCCGTTAAAGAACGTTATAGACAATTCATGTGTGTCTGCTCACAAGCAGTTGTACTGTGTTTCCCTGAACATGAGACAGGGTCTTATATTAACTTTTGCTCCAAAAAACGCATTAGGACTTATTTTCAGGGGATGTTTTAATTTTTTCATGTACAACAATCTAA